CGTCGTCGCGCCGTCCTCCCTCCCCCCCCCCCCCTCCCTTCGTCCTCCTCCTCCAACCATCGCTCGAAGTCCGTGGGACTGTGTCCCTTGGGGTAATTGGTCACGTGGAACCCTTCAGCCCTCCCTTCCTTGCAGAGCTCTTGCAGCTCCTCCATGCTCAGATGCGACGCGTCTGCATCAAGCTCCTGCATCTGCAACCCTTGCGTCACTGGTGGACATCCCCTCCCGTGTCCTCAACCTCGAACGCGGGAACTACTAGCGCGCTTCCTGCAGACGTCATCTGCAGGAGGACAGGTCATTGCTCGTACATGCTCCCGATCGCGCTTGCCTGCCGCATCGCTGCGAGGTACTCCTCATCCTGGCACTTGTCCACCAACGCCTTGGAGGGCAGGAAGTCGACGTCGACTAGGAGCACCAGCTCAGCAGCGCAGAACTTCGACGTGTTGAGGGCGAGGTTGCGCAGAGCGTTGATGGGGTAGAGGTTGTTGTACTCGTGCTCTGACGGAGAGTTTCCGAAGAGGATGGACACTACTACACCGCTGCACCACAAACATCACCGGGAGCATCAGCAGAGGCATCCGACGTACCCGACTCCAGCGTCCAGCAGCCGCCCGTACATGTCACGAATGCTGTTCAGACGGTCTTCCGTCTCTTGCCTCTGGTCGCTCCATGGGACGTACAAGGCCACAGACGCAGCTCCTCTCCATGCAAGCAGCTGCGCCTCCAGCCTTGGGAGGCGATCAAGAGAAGCCTGGGTGACGAGAACGACTCCCGAGGCCTGCGGGTCGACACTGGAGCTCAACCATGCCTGCAGTGTCTGATACTTCAGCACGCTGCAGCCGAGAGCAGCATCGATCTCGCTCTGGAGCAGGTGATCTTGCTTCCCCAGCTCCAGGTTCAGCTCCTCCACACTCGCCTTCATTGCTCTCCTGCCCTCGGCGTCAGCTGCTGCCACGTTAGCACCTCTCCTCCTCTCACATGATCTTCATGTTGCGGCTTCGATCCTCTCCCCCGTCCCAGAGGTCTCTGGGTCCCGATCCCCCATATCCCTCCACGTCCTCGAGATCATTGGCATCGTCCTGCTCCTGTTCGCCATCCTGCTCCTTTCCGCCGTCCGCATCCAGAGCGGCTTCCTCCTACACCGGAACCTCGTCAGGTACGCTCCTTCCGTGCCAGGTCGTACCGCAAGGTCTTGCTCGTTCATGTCCGCCGCCATCATGGCGTTGCCGTCATCGTCAAAGTCATAATCATCGTCGTAGCGATCATAATCGTGATGGTAATGATCGTTGTAGTAGTAGTTGTCATGGTAGTAGCGGTCACGGCGGTAACGGCCGTAGCCGCCTGAGCGATACCTCTTGTACTGTTGCTGCGTCATTAATGTCTCCTCCTCGTGCATGTCGTTACCTGCACATTCTTCATCTTGTTGTACCGCAGGCTGAGGAACTTTTGCTTCTTCGCCTCCTGCCGCATCACCTGATCGTACCGTTTCTGCTCCTTCACCATCATCTTCTCTTGTTGCAGTTGCTTCACAGTGCTTGTCACACTCCCACCACCACCAACAGCAACAGTCGTCTACCTTGTTGCCATCGATGCGCCCCCACACGTCCTTCACAGTCTCGCGCACTTTCTTCATGTACCTCCTCGCAGCTCCCTCCCTCCTCTTAGCCGCGCGCAGCTCCTCGAGCGACTTCGCCTTCAGGGCCGGGTTGCCTAGCCATGGCTTCACCCGCCCGCCGCGGCAGGCGATCTTGATCTTGACCTTGGCTTCCTGTACCTCTCGGAGGGATGACTGAATGATCTGCTCCTGGGGTCCAAGGAGGCACATGATATCAACGTAAGGAGGAGGCACGTCGACGAGCTTCTTGTTGCCGTACAGGCAGCCCTTGAAGCCCTTGATCCCCTCGATCGACAGCCCGTTCACGTCGAACTTGAGGCTTGTCACCGTCCTGTTGCTCCTCATCGCCTGCCCCAGCGCTGTGCCTCCAACATCTGAAAGGTCGCACAGCCTGTTGAAAAATGCAGTCAGCCTCCTCCTCCTCCTCCTCCTCCTCCTCCTCCCATCCCTCAGTCGTGCCCCTCTCCTTCTATACCCTCCTTCCCCTTTCTGCTTTTCCTCTACCACCTTTTCTACACCTCCATATCTATCACCAACTTTCACTCATGTCCACTTACTTCCTCATCTTCCTGCACCTCTGATCCGCCTCTCCCTCCTCCTCCTCCTCCTCCTCCTCCTCCTCCTCCTCCTCCTTCCTACCTGACGTCAAGGGCAGTGATGCTCCTGTTCTGACCGAGGCCATTCAAGATCCCCGCCACGTTGGTCATCTCACTACCCGAGGGCCAGCTGTTCCGAGCAAGGATGCGCGTGCAAAGGTGGGAGTTAGGGACGGTGTCGAGGGTGGCTCCGGGAGGAAAGTCGACGCGCAGCATGGAGTTCTCCGCCATGTCCAGGCTCTTCATGGTCTGATTCTGCTGGAGCATCTCCACCATCTCCTTAGAGAGCATCTGTACTGTCTCTGTCAGAATTCATTCTCCTCGCCTCCTGTTGCCCCTGCTTCTTCCCCTCCTTCCTCCTCCCCGTCCCCGCTCCCCCCATGGTCCTCCTCCCCTTCCTCGTCCTCCTACCGTATCTCCCAACGGGTACATCATGTTGGGGAGCTTCTCGATGCGACGCAGAATGAGTCCGGAGATGAAGCAGTTTCGTTTCATCCCTTGAATGGTCGCAGTCACGATCCTCAACGACTTGTCGCTGCAGTCTGCAGGGGATCTGTCAGTACAAGCTCCTGCCCCCTCCTTCCTTCCCTCCCCCTCCTCTTCCCTCTCCTCTCATCCTCGTCTCGTCTCTTCTTCTGACTTCACCCCTCCTCTCCCCCTCCTCTTCCCTCTCCTCTCATCCTCGTCTCGTCTCTTCTGCTGACTTCACCCCTCCTCTCCCCCTCGTCTTCCCTCTCCTCTCATCCTCGTCTCGTCTCTTCTGCTGACTTCACCCCTCCTCTCCCCCTCGTCTTCCCTCTCCTCTCATCCTCGTCTCGTCTCTTCTGCTGACTTCACCCCTCCTCTCCCCCTCGTCTTCCCTCTCCTCTCATCCTCGTCTCGTCTCTTCTGCTGACTTCACCCCTCCTCTCTCCTCCCCCAGCCTGCCTCTCTGCCTTGCTCTGCTGATCTCTACGATTCTGCTTACCAAGAATTCCACAGAACCTCGAGCTCTCGATGATGCCGGACAGGACGGCTGTCTGAGCTCCCGCAGCAGGAGGCACCTCAATCACGCTGGTGCTGAGGGAGGTCAAATCCAGGATACTCATGAGGTCACCAAAGATCTGCAGCATCACGTCAGCGAAGGGGAGGAGCAAGAGCAGGAGGGAGGGGGGAGGGGGGGGGGGGGGGGGGGATGGGCCAGGGAGGAACAGGGAGAACGAGCAGTAGGAGGAAGGAGGAAGGAGGAAGGAGGAGGGTGCAGTGAGAAAGAAGAGAAGAACGAAGAGAGAGCAGTGAGAGTAGTTCTAGTAGTAGGTGTAGCAGCAGCAGCAGCAGCAGCAGCAGCAGAAATAGGAGGAAGAAAAGGAGGAAGAGAAGGAAGATGACGAGGTGGAGGATTCTGGACTTCACCTTCATTTGCTGGCCGACGTCGCAGGAGCTGAACAGGCCGCTGAGCATGATCTCGGCACCAGGCGTGTTGAGGGTCTCTCGTACCGCCAACAGGGCAGGGACGAGGGCCGACCAGTCGTAGACAGCTCCCGTGTTGAGCTGGCTGAGGTCGATCTGCTGGAGGGGAGGTAGGGTACCCCCGATCTCCCTGCAGGACCTCATGGCATTGAGGAGGAAGGAGGGGTCCACGTTCCTCTGCTTGATGGTGGCCAGGTTCGGCATAAGGACGATGGTCTCGGCGAGGCTCTGCAGATGCTCGACGTTGACGCGCAAGTCACTCACGTCGAGGACCCTGAGGGACGAGGCCCATGGCCGGAGCTCCGGCGCGATCATCCCGATCTCCTTGAGGGGCACGACTCTAGTAAGACCCTCCACGTCGATCACCCAGCTCTCTGCATCCTTCACTCCTGCCACCTGCCCGAAGACGAAGCCGTTGCCGGGCGCCTCCCACTGAGTCCCCTTGCGGATGTGGTTGATGAAGTACTGCTTGCCGTCCGGCGTCTGCTTCATCTCCCACCCGTGCCCGAGCCCTTTCACTACCACGAACTTGCCAGTCAGGTACGCGCTCTTCTGCCCTAGCGTGAACTCGGTGCCCGGTCGCCATGCTTGAGGGACAGCATACCCGCTCCTCCACATGCTCTTGATGAGGCTTTCGACGATCACCGGACCGCAGGCAGGAGCCATAGAGCCAAGGACCAGCTCCTTCAGCTTTCCGACTCCCTGCAGTGTGCTGGAGAGAACTTGAGGAGTGAGCTCGGTGCAACCGCTCAAGTCCAGCACAGCAAGCTGCCCTGCTCCTCCTCCTCCAGTGGCCGAGAACAGGGAGGAGGCGGAGTGAAAGTCTGACCATTCAGTTTGAACGAGGATGAGAGATTCCTGCTTATCGTTGCCGACAATCTTCTTCTGCGACTGATTCATCCGTTAGTATCTCCTCCTCCTCCTCCTCCTCCTCCTCCTCCTCCTCCTCCTCCTCCTCCTACCTTTGGATCGAACACAGGGTACCAATTCTCATGCATGAGCTTGTCCGAAGGGATGTCGAACGGCATGTTACCAACCTGCCTCAGGTCAGCTTCCTCCTTCCTCCCGCCTCCTCTCACCAGGTCGTTGTACTTGACCGTGTTGTGGTCCCACACAACGTTCTCAGCTCGGACTGACTTGTTGCTGCTGGTGAAGAAGGTAAAGCGGGGGATCGCTCCGAAGTTTTCCTGCCAGCAGCGTCTCAGCCATCCACACTGTCAGTCCATCGGCAGCTACCGCGTGATGCCAGTCGGGGTTGTACTCCGAAGGGATATACCTCGTTGAAAGTTTCTCTGCGAACAAATGTCAGACGTCGCCCCAAGAGATCAACAAGTTCATCCCTTGTCCTCCACCTCCTCCACCTCCTCCATCTCCCCCTCCGTCTCCTCCTTTCACCTGGAGAGGTCTGCACTCCACTCAGTGAGCAGTCTACAAAAGTGTCGATCTTGCCGAAGAGATCTTTCTTGGGCATGTGCCGGCCGCTCACAATCTTCATTTCCAGCCGATGCGTCAAGGGGTTCTTTTGTTCAGGGAACACGCACTTGAGGGAGCCGCGGGAGAGGCGGAGCTCAGCGAACTTCTTGGTCGACATCTTGAGCATCTGCAGGAACTTGCCGAAGCTGTTTGGTATGAAAGTGTCCTCAGTCCTCCATGGCCACTGCATCGGCTCAGCCTTAGGGTCAGCCTTGCCGTCGTCCATGATGACGCCGGTGAAGAACTTGTTCGGCCTCAGCGCGTTCAGCATGGCAGGCAGCCAGACGCGATCCAAGAAAGACTCACTGATCGTTCCGTCGCTGGTCAGGTTGCAAGCCTTGGAGGTGAAGAAGGTGAGGTTCAGAACAGTGCTCGTCTGCCCATCGTGCGCGTTGACGGCGCCCGGCCTGCACCAGTACGGCTCCATGCCCGAGGTAGAGGAGAAGACGTCATTGACGGGGAAGGAGCCTCTGTAGATGAAATCAGGATCCAGGTCGAGACTGCTCTGAACCTCGTAATAGATTGACCACATGGCGAAGGAGACGAAGAAGCCTCTGTCAGCCAGGAACCGGGGATACCTCTTCTTTGTCGAGAGTGACACCATCTCAACAACATCAGCTGGGAGCTGCCAAGTTGTCTGCAGGTTTCTCAGGTCCATGTAGTAGGTGTACTTCCGGGGACCCTCGTTGAAATAGCACACCTTCCAGCCGGGCGGCAGGTTCGAGGAGATGATGATGTCATCGGCAGGGCGAACGAACCTGTCCTTGACCTCAGACCCTGAGAGCTCGAAGGGAGGAGGCCCTTGGAACAGCATCATTGCCACAGTGAGGATGGCACTCGCAGCTTTCTGCGCCTCCCCTGCGCTGGAGAAAGTGATTGTCCAGTCTCTCCCGTTCAGGGTCATGCTCAAGGTCTGGCCTGAGAGCTGTGCCTTCCGAATGTTGGCGACATGATCGCTTGCGCTGTAGGTGCACGCAAGGGAGTCACCATTCATCTTGGCTTTCTTGACGATGCCGATCCGTCCATAGGAAGAGACACAGATGCTGCGCTCCTTCTCCTGTTGACAGCGGTAGGACGCCTTCGTCTTGGGAGCGAAGAAGAGCTGGATCTCTCGCAGCTCGAAGGTGACGGTCTTGTCCTGCCAGTCCAGGAACTGAGGCTTGTAGCGGAGCACGTCCTGCTCCGCATGTGTGTCATTGGTTGTGCCTCCCTGCCTATGACCAGCAGGCGCAGGCAGAGGCAAGGGCGCTCCGCATTGACCGCAGAACCTGAAGTGGTCCTGGCAGGCATGCCCACAGGCCCCGCAGAAGTACACTGGCATGGTCGATGGTCAAGGAGTACTTGAGGTACCTGCATGTGAAAGCAGAGTGAGAAGGGATTGTTACCCTATTGGGGTGAGGTGGGCGGGCTAGAGGGGGGGGGGGGGGGCAAATTCAGCGCAATGGGAAACAGGTCACATCGCAGAGAGCCAAAACAACCCTGAAAAAGAATGCAAATTGCCACCTCATTGTGTGATTGAGTCATTACAATACATGTCTGGAGGTCCAACAGTGCGCAAACATGTCACACCACTCCACAGCAATGAGAGGTGTTGACGAAAGGGAACAAGCGTACATCCCAAGGCAGCAAAGCCGAGCAATCTTGCAGCACTTGTCGAGGTAAGCAAGAGCGAGCACATATCAGAAGGACGTGAGGGGGTGAGAGGGCGGGTACGAGGAGAGCGAGGAAGAGTGGCTGAGACGACGAAGCTATGCAACCAGAGGTTTGTATGAGACATACTGCAGGTACACACCGGTCCATTTAACATTGTTTTTGTGGGTAGGGGTACTTCGGTTACCGGTTCAGTTCAAGACAGAAGGGGGGGTGCTGGGAATCCGAAGAATGACCACTGGAAGTGAACACACGTACCCGATGCTCTCTTCCAGTACCCGTCCTTCGCTATGAAATTCATCGATGAAGACCCGGTACTTTTATACCTCTGAGCAACTACTACCCCCCCCACAACCCAAAATTATCAACTTCTCACGATCAGGCTAGCCAAGTTTCCAAATTCCCCGGAGTCCGACCGGACGGCGGGAATCATGAATGCGGGCCGGGCTGCGGCCACCTCAGACGGTGAGCCACGGAGCCTCGAGTGCCAGTGGCCCGGGGCCCCGGCCGCGGCCGCCGGCCGGCGGCGGCCGGGCGGGACGCCGCGCGCGGCGGCGGGCCCGGCGCCCGGGATCCGATGATCATGATTGACTCAGTGAGCGGCTCCGCGGCGCCCGGCTCCGACTCCCGTCCGGCCGCGGCGCTGAGGTCGGACTGAGGCCCCCGGTGGCGACCCGGGGGGGTCCGACCGGCGCCGGGCGTATGGATGGAATGGCCTAGGCAGGTTTGGGAAGGAGACTACGCGGGGAAGTTAAAAAAAACCAGTCAAAAAAAAAACCCGCATCGGACTTTCTCCATTCTTTTTTCCCTGGCAATTTTTGGGCTCGAAAAATGATGTTAGTCACAGACCGTATTGTACAGTACTAGGCTAGTAAGTACCGTACCGTACCGTACGGTCATCGGATGCCAACGGAATCATATGAATAATGACCGTCCCGACTCGAGTCGGAGCGGCGCCGCTGTTGCCTCTTGATTCAACTGAATTTCTTTACTCAAAGTTAGGTAAGGTTCAGTACGAGGACCCACTATGATGATAGTAATGCTGGGCCCTCAAACCGTGGCTGCTACGGTCGGAACCACCCGGTGACCCGCCGGGCTGGTGAGTGAATCCACTGCCCTCGGACGAGTCAGTGATCTTGTGACTCTTAGCACTAGTATCTCCTTGCTGCCCTCCAAGGTCGGGCGGGCCCAGTACGGTCACTCGTGTCCCATGACTCGAACTGATGTGGTGGCCGGATTGACAATTGCCCTTGTGATAGGTGTAACATACCAGATCCAAAATAAGTCTTTTCACTTTACGATGAGTCATCAGTTCTTGGAATAACTCTTTTTCGGTCTTGGTTCTCATCCCTGATTCCCCTGTTGCCGTCCGAACCGTTGCATTGTTTGACCTGCAGATAGAGAGCTCCTACAGCCCACCCTATGGTGACCGACCTGTTTAACACCACCCCCTCTAATCAGTTTAACTAAAACCAGATATGGTCACGACCCCCTCTGCCAGTATTGTCCACCCACCCTACTTCCTATCAGTGGAATCAACCGCTACAGTACCCCATCCTTTTCCAACGGACCCCACAGCAAACGCGGCTGCCCAATAGAAGGAAAATTCTTTTTTGCCAAGGTAACCCCCACCACCATAGGTTTTATGTACCCCTCACCACCCATGGAAGTTCCTGTCTACTCCAAATTTTACCTGTCAGTATGTGAGACTAGCTGCTGCTATCAAATCAGGGAGCTTGTGCTATAGCCCCACTCTCGCTGGTGCCGAATGCACCCACCTACCCCTTTCATGACACCCCCTACCCCCTTCAAAACACTTATAAAAATAAAATATGGTGTTTCCGATCGAACCCCCCACCAGGAAACTCATTATTGTACCCACATTTATATGCAGGAAATGACGGGTAGAAGGAGTACCCCCACCCCAACCTTATCTTCAGTTGGACGTCCTCTTCTTGTCCGCCCTCCCCGCTTTTTTAAAGGCTTATTCCTCGCTTCATTCAGCAGCGATCGCTCCCTCCCTTCCCCTCCCATCCCCCCCCCCCCCCGGTCCCCACACGCTCTAATCACCCAGCCAAACCCTTCCTGAAGCTCCACAGAGCATATCTCCTTTGCCTTCTTTGTCCTCCTACTTGCCTTCGTTGCCCTCCTACTTTTCTTCGTTGCCCTCCTACTTTTCTTCGTTGCCCTCCGTTGCCCTCGTACTCTCGAAGTGAATTCCGAGGGGACGAGGCCAATCCTTGACTTCGGCGTAAACCAAGGAAGAAGGCTATTCATAATTCAACCCTCGTGCATCTGCGTTATCAAGAGACAAGGAGAGAGTAATGCACTCGACCGGAACACTATTTGCCGATGCTCTGGATGCAAGAGATCCAGATTTTGACTTGCTAAAAGATGTATTTCCCCTTGAAGCAGAGTTTGAAAGGTGCCTATGTCCGTGCTGCTGTGCGATACCCATGCAGAGTCTAGACATTGTTGAGGACCAAGGTGATTTCATTTTGAACGACTCGTGTAGTCAGCCTTTCCATGGTCTTCTGCAACAAGAACTCGACCGCGATATGGAGGAGGAAGGTATCGTGCAAGATGAGCAGGAAACCTCGGACGAAAATGAGAGCAGCTCGCAGCCTTGTGCAGAGATGAAATCGAAGCAATATAAAGAGATTGCTGAGATGAAGAAAGGGAGATCGTGGACCGAGAATCAGAAGAAGAAGCACAAGTCAGCTTGCAAGGGGAAGAGGAGGTTGACACTGGCTCAGAAGCTTGAGATCGTGAGGATGCAGGAGTCTTCTAGTCCAGGAGACAAGAAGACACAGGCTCAGATCGCTGAGATGTATGGAAAATGTAGATCTGCCATCTCAAAGATCCTGCATCCAAGAAACATTGCCAAGATCAAGAAGTCGCTGAACATTGGCGTCGACCTGACGATTCGTCGATGCTCAGCTGTGACAGAGTTCGAGAAGAGATTCCTTGAGTCGTTGGGCGAGGAGGATCGCAGGATTTTGATGTCTGGGATGCCGTGCAACGATGAGAAATTGTGTGTAAGAGCTAACCTGCTCGCTAAGGAGATGGGGACTGTTGGCTTCGAGGCGAATCCTGGATGGCTGTCACGTTTCGTAAAGCGACACTTGGCGGCGATGAGGGTATGAAGTCTCCTACCCTGGATGGCAGCTGGCAGGAGTTGCTGGAATCTTTCATGTTATTCGTGTAAATCATAGCCCCAAGGGCAATTGTTCTGTGGCAACATGAGTTCTGGGCTTTTGTTGGGGATTGTGATGGTCGATTGAGACCAAAGTTGATTTGAGGGCTGCGATTTCACCATAACCTAATTTCACCAAATTTCGTTTTCACCAAATTTCTTTGGCGATGTCACCAAATTTCTTTGGATATATATATGAAGAAGCTCCTTTACAATCGCCCAGGTTGTTGATCAGATCCTAAGCTTAGTTGGCTTACTTGGTGTGACCAATTTGGCTCTATCGTTCTAATTTTGAATAAATCTGAACGCCTAAAATCTTGTTTTTTGTTTGTATTTGCTTTGTTGTAATTGGCAATTGATGATGAATTCATACGGTTTCATCTTCCTTCTCACACGATTTCATTACTATGTCAAAAGGAATTTCTTCTTGTTTTTTACGCAAGAGGTTGAATCTATTGTATGTTGTTGGCATCATTCACAGATCCCAAGGGTCTGCAGGCTAGCATTAAAGTGAGAGCAAGAGCATGAACGTGTAGGAAGCCCAAAGTGTAATTTTTGAGAGAGTTTAAATTACATATCACAACATTCTTCCTGGGGAGGGAAATGTTGATTCACACAAGCAACAATACCGTCAATTCAAATAGAACATGTGCGTGAACCTTTTACTACTACGCATGTTTCGTATCATGGAGTGGAATATTTAATATAATGAATTCTCTGTATGTGGCATGCAATTGTTTAGAATATTCATTATGAAAAATGCAGAATATGTGACAAATACAGAATCTAATTTACAGTTCGCAAAAAACTTGTTTCACTACTTGGCCACAAAATTTCCATAGCGATCAATTGTGTTCAAGAGTGGATTTCCTGACATGTAGTTGATTGACGGGTAGCTGCTTCGTCGAAGTACATTTCCTGCAAAGTCGATAGCCCTTTCTCCTAGTGATCCTTCAGAGATGGTATCATCCTCCACGATCCCATTGTTGCTCGTTTCTTCAATCCGCAAACTACAACTACCTTCGCTTCTCGTGTGGAATTCCTGCAACTCTTGCAGTACATGCTCATTGGTTGTCGCTTGCCTTGCTTGTTTCATGACATCCAGCATTATGTCGCACTTGGAGCCTTTGCGTCCATTGCAACTAATTTCTTTCACACCAGAGTGAAACATCGGAGTTATGATGACCGGCGATGAATGTCTCCTTGACCTCATCCTATCACTACAGAATTCAAGCCTCGATCGTATTGGAGTTTTCGTGTTCAGCTCTATCGTGGTGCTAACGAGTTGCACTTATCAACTTTCTGACCAGAGAGAGAGAGTTGCTCTGTGTGCGGGACTATGAACAATCTCAGCTGTTTACAAGAAGAGGTGATGATGTCTTAAATGGAGGAGAGGGAAAGAGACAAATGTATGGATCCGTCTTATCCTTGGTGGCTTTTTGCATTGGAGGGGTAGTCAAACCACATTCCCTCTCCAGTGAGCACATTGAGGGGGTTAGGGGTACTACAGAAAATCGAATGGAAAGATACATGGTATTAGACCAGAGAATATACTCTATTGCTCTAGGCAAAAATGCGATAGGTGTGAAGATAGGGATCTATCGTCAAATAATCAGCTCAGGGGAGGGGTCATCGAGATCCATCCCGCAGGAAGGGCGCTGGGTGGGGTCCTAGTGGGGTCCTTCTGTAAGGGAAAAGATTATTAATTTTCAGGGGTACAGGGTCATAGATTACGGATATTTGTTTTTCAAAACTTGGAAATATTCACGTAAATTTCAAAACAAAACACAAATCAAGTCTTGAGTCTCTCAAATCTCTCTCCGTCGGAGCTACAGAACCCTCCTCCGGACGGAATTTACCACCCCCACCCCCTCTTGATCCTTCGATCACCTACTACCACTCACCGTGCCACCCCGGGAGGAACTCTGAGTCCCACCCGTACATTTCCCTACGAACACCCCCTACCTATCTCATCTACTCTCAGGGTTCATCCGTGTCAGAAACTACGTCCCTCGTGGTTTTTAAAAGGGGGGAGCCGGGGTCCATGGGATGTAGAATTATTTCTATTATTATTATACTACATTTTTACTTTTAGTCAAGTGTTGATATTTTAAAAAAATCTGGTTCAATGTTTCCCGGGACTCCGGCCCGGCGGGGGCGGCCAGTGTACTGAAGAACTTGGTTCTGACAAACCTCAGAAGTTCTTTTAAAAGACGCGATAAGTTCAGGGCTTGCGTCTCATCGTGGTGAACCAAGAAATGTGTGAAGAGTCCACCCTCCACCAGATCAGTCCTTGTCTGCACATGTTGGATTTCCACTGGATATGAAATCTTGGTGAAAAGAATCTTTTCAGTGGCTGGATCAAGGACTCTTTTCAATTTCTGTATGTCCCTAAACAGCTGGATAAGCTTCTGTGGAACTCAACTCCAGAGGTTGGTATTTTGGACCAGCTACCATACAGTATGTAGGATTTGGGTGTCAATGACATGTAATCATCTACTCAGATGACGTCAAAGTTGTCATTCTCCACATCAGGAAGGTCAAAGTAGTTTTTCTTCAACTTTGTCTTGTTTCTAAGGTGTTTGACATGTTGGTCCTGTTTGACCTCAACTTGCCATGAAACGAACGCAATGTTTCTTCATCCATTTCTCCACAGCCTTGCGCATGACACATTCCACTGGCAACACTTGTACCTCCGAGGATCCAATGCAACGAGCACATTGGCAATTTTTGCACTTCTTGCCCGGAAATGGGAAATATGGCCTTCGGATGCAACTTGGCGAACAAGAATGACTACTCCTTCGCGAGCATCTCTCTGCGGCAGGCATCCAACTCAGTCTCCATGAACTCGGAGATGTCGACCTCCATGGCTGTGGTCTGTTGCAATTTTCTCTGCCTCTCTTTCTTTTTTTAATACTGAGGGCAAGCAGGGGGGGCTGAAAAACAATAGGCTAGTAATTTACAGGCACAATTGGCACACAAACAACACATCAAACCTGAAATGGGCTATCAATTAGCCAGTAATTTACTGGCCGCAATTGGCACACACACCTAAACCCTAAACCCTAAACATCAAGCACCATGCCACAGAATCCCAAATCCCGCATCAATCTGAAAGACCTCGAGGTTTACGTGGGTGTGGGGTGTTCGGAGCTGCGCCAGATTGTTCTGTATGAAACACCTGGATATACCAAGGATCAGGCGTTGGTCTTTTTCCAGCACATCAAGAACAGTCTGATGGATTTTGATTCGCTGTCAAAAGGAATGTCCGAATTTCACGATGCCAAGATCTTTTTGGAAATGATAAAGATATCCTGTCAAAACACATTGATGGTGCTGCAGAGTAAAGAGGAATGGGATAGCTTGCAAGAAATCATTGAAACCATAGACATTTTGCTGAGTTAAAAGGAGCCTCGGAGCTATTGCGTTTGAAAGTTATAAAAATGCGTGGTCCTCAAGCAAAAGTTCTGTCACCTGTGCACGTCCAGTCGTCTCGCTGTGACGGTGGCGCCCGGCCGCCGGGCTGCACGGCCTGAGTGCGGGCCGCCGGCGGCGTGGCACTGTCGCCGAGTCGACCGTCCGTCACAAACTCCGTCGCGCGGGCCCGGCCGCCGGGCGGCGGCCCGGTGCCGCGCAGTGCGGCCCTCACTGACTCAGTGCCACTCGGAGTGAGTCAGCCTCAGATTGGTCACTCAGTCACTGGTTGGCTTTGAGTAAAGATTGGCCACCGGCCCGTCCGACGGTCACGCGCCGCCGGTTCCTAGCACAGAGTTTACTCAAAGTTAAGTTTAAAAATGGGTACAAAGACTCATCAGGGTCCTGGTTTGTCGCTTGCTGTTGAAGGAGACGAACAGAAAGGACCGGTGCAAATGTAGGTTAATGAGGGGGTCCAAATTAAGGCACAGTCAGCTATCACCTTATTTAGTTAAGGTGGCCCATGACCCTCGTCATCAAAATCCAGTCGCGCCGTTCATGGGATCAGATGCCACCCCCTACGATATGGACCCGTACTTCCACTTACCCAACCCACCTATATATCCCTTGGTACCCCTGTATTTGAGAGAGAAAACTGACCTCTTTAAACAGACACCCCTCTTTTTGTAGCTGCACGTAGGTCAGTCATCGGCTATATCCGTGAAGATCAGCAAGGGTCAGCAGGGGATCAAGGGGGTAAAAACGCATCTCTTGCAACTGTTGTCATGCTAATACACCCCCCCATCCCTCAGGAAAATTGAGGGTGTCTGTATTGGAGAACGCACCGGTATGCTCTGTTGTATTGTACCAATTCAAGTTGGCAGCAAAGAAAAGGTCTATAGCCCCATATGGAAGCCATTGAGCAGTTATAATTGCCTCCGAATCTCGCCAACTCTTTCAAAATAATGCTGACATAACCCTACCCCCTTTTCTCTACTGCGAGATTGATCTGACATGTGGTAAAGACACTGACCCGTAAATATTAAAAAGGTGGGTATGTGGTCCATCCCTTTGATCGTATGAGACTATTTTATGTTAGGGTAGGGTATCCAGGTTTGCAAAGAATTGTTTCAAAACTTGGAAGATTGTTTTAAACTAAATATATATATATTTAAACATCAATCAATGAATTGCAAATTAGTGACAATAAATAGTTGACAGATTTCAAATAAAGTTGATTCACACCCCAAACAGAAAAGTGAGACTGAACAGAGATATCATGTACCAAATGACCCCTACCCGTATCGACAGCCCTAATAGGACCTCTTCATTCTACCCCACCACTTACCCATTCCCATCTACCCCCACCCCCCCTTTTCCAGTGAACTCCCTCCACCACAACCAAGATTGACCTCGTGTCCCCATTGCATTGCTTCCTGTACCGCGTTCCTCTCTTGCTGTTGGTCCCCTTTCTTGTTTGTGTTTGGAACTTTCATGTCAGGAATCGCCTGTCCTGGGCACATCGAAACAGAACATACTGATTGCAAAAACATAACAATGGGTGGTGAACTGCTCAACCAAAAGTACGCAAAGATTTCGGAAACTGACCGGGTAGAAAGGCAAGGAATTTACTCTCCGTGCATGCTTTTGGAAGAAGCGCGGCGTACAGAGGAGAGCTCGCTCTCTTGGACGAAACTCGCACAGAAAACCTCCACTTCCATCTCAAGCTCGTCCTCATTGGATGACGAGTCAGGGATCTACGATCCGTCAGAGGGGGACGATGAACTTGGCGACTACATGAAACCGATCCGAGCGTGCACCATTGCAGATATATACATGTTCGAGGAGTTGCGGAAGGAAGTCGGGTTTGAAACAGCTAGGGAATGGGCACTGAATCAACTTGGACCGAAGATGTTGTCCGAAGCCTCCACCGCTCATTCATCGACGTGCGTGTCTCGGGTGTCCAGCATATCATCACGACCGGATACGCCTGCAGCATCATCAAAGGATTGGAGACAAGGGCAGCGCAAGGGTTTCTCACAATCTGATGGCAGCTTTTTGAAGGAAAAGAAAAAGCTTTTGTTCAACATCATGAAACAGAACAGTCTTCCGGCTAAGGTCTTTCTGTCAAAGATGAACTCCACGGCGTCTTCTTCATTCAACCCGACGGCGTCTACCACTATATCGCCAGGCATTAGTGCACCACCCAATTCTGCAGCATTCAACAAGAAAAAGCTTACCACATGGAACTCGTGGAAGCAGTAGTCTCGTGTGCAAAATCTTCTGTATTTTTGTTCTGTATCAATACAATTATCTATGATGCTCCTGTGTACTGATGACTGCTACTACTGAATTATGAAATACCCAACCAACCGTGAAGTTTTTGATGCACAGTTCAGTGCTGGTCGTTGCAAACAATGATGTGTACACGTGGAGTAAGCGATCATATGAAAATGCTTTGCCGATGGTCGGATTCGACAGTCACTGAGTGCCGCTGGCATTCCAGCCTCCGGCCCTGATGAATGTTGCATACGTCCGGACTCTGCCCAGGCCTGCCAGTGCGATTAACAACCGCAGCACTGCGGCAGCCACTGATGAATCGGATCGCTCGGATTGGAGTCCTCAGGCAACTTTTACTCGGGTGCGCAGTGCCGAAAGTTACTATCATCCGAGCAGGCCGCGCCGCTTCCGAGTTCACACTAGTCGGCAGCCGGATGATTGGGTTTGGTTCTGCTGTCTTTCTCTTCTCGCCGTTTGGCGGCCTGTGCGACAGTGTCAGCCTGAGGGTCAAGCCTCCTCGACTCCGCCGCTTTCAAAGTCGAGTCACTGGCGAGTCACCGAGGGCCCGGCGCCGCCCCGCGGCTCGAGTCCCGGACCGTCGGTGTCGGTCCGATCCGGCCGCCCGCACAGCCGGGACTCGCCTCGGGACCGGGACGGTCGGACTCGAGCCCGGCTGTTCCGAGCGGCCGGGGGCCCGGCCGGGCCAACTCAGTTGCAGCCGTTTACTCAAAGCCCGAACCGCATCGGACAGAAGCGCCTGCCATGCGTTCATCGTCTAAGCGCTTGAGCAGGGAGACGGCAGGAAGAGGAGGAGGAGGAGGAGGAGAGGGGAACAGCATGTGCAGGAGGCAAGCTCGTGATACATCGCCATGCGTCCTCGTCTCTGCTTCCTGCAGCTCCTTCCTCGTTCTTGTGCTCTATGCCCTTGCCACCAGTGTCCCCGGATGCGCAATGAGAGTGGAACTGAAGAATGCATTCTGCAGCCCTCCTCGAGCGCCCCTGCCCAGTCAAGGACTCATGAGGGATTCTTGTAGAGAGTCATTGCGCCATGCTTGCACTAAGAAACCAGTGAACCATCGCCGAGGCGCTTTCCTGCATTGGTTGAGTGCAGGCGGCGGTCGGCATGGGGCAGACGAGGATATCAGAGGTGGGTAATGGATCAATGTGACATCCTGCATGCTGCCGCTATCGTCCTTTCATGCTGCTGCCTGCTGTGTATCTATGATCTATCAGCTCCGATGTCCTCACCCTCGACGTGAAGGGCTGATCCCTCACCAATCTGCTGCAGGAAAGGCGTTCAGCAAGTGGTGGGAAGAGAGTCGTGAGCAGACTCTTGTCCCCAAGAAGCTCCAGCACAAGGTAATCCATGCCTTCCTCCATGCTCCCTTGTCCTTGTGACTTATTGACGCCGGTCCAAGGGCGTGTTCCCGTCCTTCCTCAACGGACTCCTCCTCCGCAATGGTCCTGCCATCTGGAGTGGCAAGGGGAGGAGCTACACGCATGCCTTCGACGGGCTGGCCAAACTGACCAAGTTTGAAGTGAAGGAGGGAGAGGTGTGGTACTCGAGCAGGTTTGTTCGCTCCCAGTGGTACAAGAGGATGGTAGAGGAGGAGGAGGACGCTCCAAAGGCTATCAGCGTCGGCCCGACCGATCCACCTCTCAACCAGCTCGACAAGCTGCTGGCCCTTTTCAACTCTGACTCCTTCGACAATGCGCCCGTCAACGTCCACCAGCTGGGCGGTCAGCTGGGCCCTTGGGTGGCGGTCACAGACGCCCCTCTCGCCATGGAGTTTGACAGGGAGACTCTAGAGACTCGGGGGAGGCTTGACAAGCGCTACGTCAACTCAGTCTGCCAGCTGGGGGGGCTGCTGCTGTTCAGCACTGCACATCCTCTGCCTTGCCCTGTGACGGGGCAGACGATCAACTACTTCCTTGAGCTCAATGTGCTGCAAGGGAACAGGGCCCTCCTCGTGCGGACGGACGACAAGTTAGCACGGCAGCTGGTGGGGAGCGTGAGGCTGGCAGCGGGGGAGATACCCTACGTCCACTCCTTCGGCCTGACTCGCACTGGAAAGGCAATTCTCATGCTCTGCCCTCTTCGGATGCCTCCGGCCGCTCTGCTCAACGGGAGCTTCATGCCATCGCTGGAGTGGTGCGGAGAAGGTGAGGGTGACAGGACAAGGATCTATGTGTTCGACCTCAAGGAGTCCAAGGTGGAGCCGAGCTGGACGTTCGAGGCAGACCCGCTCTTCTTCTACCACTGCATCAATGCGTACGAGGAGGAGGAGGAGATCGTTGTAGAGCTCTGTGGCTACAACACCCCGGACATCGCGACCTCCCCCCACGCGTTCGCGTACCTTCCCAACATGAAGGACGGGCAGGAGAGGAAAAAGCAAGCACGGGATGGCTCGCTGTACAGGATGAAGCTGCCGCTGAAGCAGCAGGGGCATGTGACCGTCAAGAAACTTGAGGCCCCGTGTGATGGGATGGAAATGACGTTCGAGCTCCCGACTATCAATCCGCAGCTGGTGGGGAAGAAGCATCGGCATGTGTACGGATACACAGGTAGAGAAGAGGAGCGTTGGAGAGATGGGAGCGGGAGGAGGGAGGGAAAGGAGGAAGGAGGAAAGAGAAGGAGGAAGGGCGGAGAAGTATTTGATGGAAAGGTTTTCTGATGGAGAAGGACAGGTTTCGGACGCGGCGACGAGAGCGACTTCACTGAGTGGGCTGTGCTGAAAATCTCTACGGATGACGATGGAGTGACTAGTGTGCTCAAGTGGGAGGAAGAGCAGACGTATCCATCCGAGCCAACGTTCGTGCCCCGACCTGATGGCAAGGAGGAAGACGATGGAGTTGTGCTGGTCCAGATGTTCGATGGAAAAAGGGAAGAAAGTTTCCTCCTCTGCCTTGATGCGAAGAACATGAAGGAGATAGGGAGAGCATACACAGGCCAGCGATCGTCACCCCAGTTTCACGGGCAGTTCGTGCAGAACAATCAATGAGCAAGGTTTACTGCAAGCACAAGGAAAATGCCTCAGGTCTAGATAACCTTGGTGATGACAGTTTTCTGCCGTTGATTAAGTGAGAAGAAGACGAGAGAGAGAGAGAGAGAGAGAGAGAGAGAGAGAGAGAGAGAGAGAGAGAGAGAGAGAGAGAGAGAAGGAAGGAGAAGAGAACATGACAGGAGGAGGAGGGGGAGGGGGAGAAGGAGGAGGAGGAGGAGGAGCAAACCTTGGGGGTGATGGTGACTGGGGGAAGAAGCTGGTTGTCACGGACGAGGGTCTGGAGTGAGGATGTCAGACGACGCGGCAAGGGCAGAGAAAAGATGACCAGGGTAATGCTGCTCTCGGAGAAGAGCATACGACGGATCTGATAGCTGGAGCGACACACTCAGACTAGCAAGAGTCTTCATGGGAAAGGGAGAACAAGGCAGGAGAATTGAAGACAACGATCTACAAATGCAGACAAGGACGAAGGAGGAGAAGGAGCCGAAAAATAGATAAAGGGGTTGAAAGCAGCAGGGGAGGAGAGGAGGGAGACTTACTTGAGCATCATTTGAACCTCCATCTGGTTAATCGCGATGATCTGATCTGTCACCCTGACCTGGCTCTGCTCTTCCTGTCAGCCACCAACATGGCAGGAGCGCCAGTCACCTCAGCTGGGGCCGTCTTGTTGTACTCCTCTACCGCGCTGTCCTCGAGGATGCGGATCACAAAGACGGGCTCGCCTGTCGCTCGATGAGACGAAGAGTGTTCACATTTTTGGCATCTTTCACCCGCGTTTCGCTCCGTCGTCCGGGTAAGGTGGAAGTGCCTCGGGTCAGCTCCGACGACGAGGCCGAGGGTCGGGCGGTACTGTATGAAGGGGATCAAACCGCTGGCAGATTACTAGAAAGGGGAGAAGGGGGTACCAGGTCGTCACGGATCTTCTGCATGTTGCTGCGGCAGAAGCAGTAAGGAGCAGAAAGGGAGGAAGCAGGTTGTCTCACGTGAGCTCGAGCTTGAGCTGGTTGATCCTGATGTCAATGCTGCCGTTCTATGCCGGTGGTTTGTCAGCAGCAAGAAAGGCGCCAAGAGGCAGAGGTAGAGGCCCACCTCCATGCTGTAACCGTGAAGCTCATCCGCCTTCATCCTCTCCTTCTGTTAATGGTGTCAAACGTCAAAGGGACAGGCATGAACTTGCTCGCCTGGAACTCCTGGACAATCTGCTCGATGCTCTTGTCAAGATTGGTGAGCTTCGTCTGCATCGCCTGCGTCTCCTCCTGTCGCATCGGCGATGAGAAGAGCTCAGCTGCTCTCCTCCTTCACCCACCTGAATCTTGCCAGTCTCCTTGTTGCGCGCCTCAAGCTCAGTGAGTTTGGTCTTGAGGAATTCGGCATTCTGATTTCCGGTCAACAAACAAGGGACTAACACAAACTCCGACGCACCTGCTTTGCGCTCTGCCACTCATGCTTCAACAGGGCAAACTGCGAGCTGTTAAAGGATGCAGATGAGGTCGAAGAAAGGGTCTCTCCACCTGTCTGTTCTGCTGCTCGGCTGCGAGGTACTGCGTGTGAAGCTGGGACCACTAGGCGAGAGAAGTCAGCAAAACAATCAGAAAATCAAATCATAGCCCACCTTCTTCTCGAGATCCAACTCCACCTCCTGTTGCGCCTTCTGTTTGGATTCCTGTGGACGAATCCGATGAGGAGGAGGAGGAGGAGGAGGAGGAGGAGGAGGAGGAGAATCTCTCTTGCCATCTGGGACTTCATCGTGTTGATATTTTGCTCAATTGCCAGCACCTCCTGCACCTCTCCCTCCATCTGTAAAAATAAAGTGTGAGCGCGAGATAATGACACCTCATTTGCTCACGTTGCGGTACTCTCTTTCCGTCTCGGCAATCAGCCTTCTCAGTCTGTTCACCTCAGCATTGATGGCGTTTACGTTCCTTCTCAACTAGTCAGATGCCGCATCCCTCGATAAATCAACGGCCCACCCTCCAGCAACGACCTCGCCCTGTCCGTAGATGGGAACTGAAAGACTTTCAGCGCACACGAGCGACAGAGAGAAGGCTTGACCTTGCATGGACTGGAACTGCGGGCCGTTGAGAATCACTTGCTGCGTTCCCACATCTTAGACAACACAGTTAAGACCTGTTTATCCTATACAGCCTCATTCAGCCACCTGACTTGTAGTCCATGATGGGTTGCTGCACAGTTCCGTACACAACCTGCTGAGGAACTTCTCCCTGGATGAACTGATAGTTTGGAGCAAAAGACTGTACTCCAGCCATCTGCACAGCAGGAAAGGACTGGACCGAGGGCCCCATCATGGCTGTGGTGTACTCGAATGGCTGCTGCGCTCCGATGAACTGGTTCGAGGTTGGGAAGGAGTAAACCATGCCTGGCGCAAGGCCAGGAATCTGACTGACGAGTTGAGGTTCAGCAACTGCAGCGAACGATGTCAGGTGTCGGATGCGATTGTTTGGAATCAAGTTCGCTACTACTGCCGATTTGAACTGCAGGATGCCAAGACGTTGAAGGTGCCCCTTCCCATACTCATGGACATATCCGAATAAAACACTGACAGTTCACATGAAACAACTCAATTGAAAAATCTAGCAGCTGAATCCCTTCTGGGTCATACCAGCCTTGACAGTATGACTCTTGCTCGTTCCTACCCTTCATCCCCCATGCATCCTACACCTTCAATCCTTTCTTTCTGATACACAGTCACACGTCTTCTTCATATCAAGAACTTTGTTATCAACAACCACAACAACGACCTGTTATCAACAACAACAACCACGACGACGACTTGTTATCAACAACAACAACAACCACTTGTTATCAACAAGAACAACCACGACGACTTGTTATCAACATCATCAACAACAACAACCACTTGTTATCAACAACATCATCATCATCATCAACAACAACCACTTGTTATCAACAACAACAACACACACAATTCGTAGCTCATCGTCGGCAGCTTCATACACTTGGCGTCACTCACCGTACTGCATGCTTGCGCGCCTCTGTTCACTCGTCAACAATACTACCCCCTACCCACCCTCAGGTCCAAAGATAACCTTGGACCCCGTCACTGCGGACCCTGACCCGTGTCGTTAGATACCTTCCCTAATTACAGGAGAGAGCTTCAGTCTCTGAAGCCTTAGTATGATACTATGTGTTCTTTTCCTATGTACTCTATTGGAAAATATCTGCCTTGATGGGCATGAGACAGCTCCCTTTTGGCCCATTGACCGGTCATAATCCTCCATTCTTTCATCATATATCAACAATAGGGTGGCTTGATACCACCCTTTGCTGTCTGAGAGTCCGATACCACCCCTACCCCCTTGAAACCAGTCACCATTGGTACCCCACCCCCATTAACCTCCGCACCCCATCAGCGCCGCCATGAGATCCGCAAAATGCGAACATAAAACTGATTTTAGATTCTTTGCCCTCAATACAAGTTTAAAAATAAAATTTTATAGAATCAATACAAAAGGAAGAAACGAATATGGATCCGGTACCAAGTTTGGGCGAACCTTTAGTACCATAACGTTTCTTTCTCTTCCCGGTGCGGGACCCCTCAACACCTGGACTAGCAATGAGGGGGTACTAGGGTAGTGGCGCCGGCCTGTACAGCAGGGGGTTCTTGATTCGAAGCCTTTGACCCGGGCCAAGAGCTCACTGTTTCTCAGCGACCGTTGCCCCGGGCGGCCGCGGCCGGGCGGCTGTCCGACCGGGGTGCCGGGCCCCGGCCCCGCCGGGGGCCGCGATCTGATGACCGTCGAGTCGGACCCGGCGTCAAGGTCAGGCGGCGGGCTGAACTTCGGAAGGCTTCACTGGGCCAAGTTGAATGACTCAGTCCGCCGGCCGGGCGGCGAACAACTCAATGCCAAGGAAACCGACCGGGCGCTCCTCCCGCCGCCGCCGGTTCAACCTGAACCGACGGTTGATTCACTGCCGCTGAAGGCTCCTGACTGTCGTAGTACTGATCTTCAAGTTAACCGTTTGAGCAGTGACTACGTGACTGCGCCTCCGCCGGCGAAGTACCGGGCTAGCGGCCGGCTCGGCCCGCGCGGCGGGGCCAGCGCCGCGGGGCCGCCCCGCCCGAGCGCCGGCTCAGGGCGGCCCCCGGGCCCGGGGGGCGCGCCGGCCCGGGGCCCCCGGCAGGGCCGGGCGCTGCCCGGTCCGGGCCGCCGGCCCGCCCCGCGGCGCCGGGTCGCGGCGCCGCCCCGCGGCCCTGTCACTGTGACGCCGCGCCCCCGCGCCGCCGCCGTCAACCCGCGGGGCGGCCCGCCGGCCCCCCCCGGCGTCCGCCGCCGCCGTGACTCCGAGCCTCCCGCCGGTCACAGTGACTCCGACCCGGTGACTCGATGCCCGGTGATTGTCATCCTCGGAGTCGGGCACTCGGTGACTCCGTCATGCCGCGGTGGCACTGGCTTGAAGTTGCGCCCGGGAGGCTTCGGGTTCGGCGGGCCGGGCCGCCGGGCCGCCGGTACTAGGTAGCCGCGGCTCACTGGCCAGGACTCGTGACTCGGAACTTGCCTTCTGGCGGGCAACTCAAAGTAGAGTCCGAGTCAGTGACTAGGCCGCTAAACTTTGCCGGGATGCCAGTGCCTTGAACTTAACTGAGTTCGCGGCCGGGCGGCCTCGGACGACTCGGTCCGATCCATTTGGGTCCGGCCCGGTCCGACCCTCCGGGTCTCCGGGCCAGTCCGAGTCTGAGCCTCAGTAAAACAAATATGTAACGACTTTACAACCGTCCACCGGTTCTACGCCCTCTTTCTTGTTTTTAGTACCCCTTCACCGATGCTTGCCGTGAGTCTTTGATAGTACCCCCTCAAGTACTCCAAACTTGACTGTAGACAAGGGGTACATTGGCTTATATCAATGGCAGGACCCCGTTTTCAAGCATCCACGTCAGCAGGGGAGCGGCCTCCGGTACGTTTGCCGTGGACATGTACTGCACTTTTATACCCTGAAAAAGATACTCCTTTAGAGCGGAGACAGCAGACTGGTACAGTTTTATATTATATATAATTGTATATGTGTATTTTGGTACCAATTCAAGAATTTATCTTCTCCGAATATAACTCAATTAAAGTTTGCTTTTTGCTATTCTACGCATTTTAAAACATTCTATATGTCTCTTAAAACTTATATCGCTTGTAAAACGTATGAACTGATACCTTTGCTCTGGTAATCCTTGTTGGGTCGTACCATTTACTTCATAATAATAAAGTATTAAAAACACTTACCTATTTGTTGCATACAAATTGGTTTGTAAAAAGATTTAACATCGGCCGGTACAAAGCCATCCCACACCGTCACCGCGGAGATTTCGGCCATGCGCTCCTCTGTCATCCGCCGCGCAAGTGCGCTCACCCGTAGGACAAAGTGAGAACCTGCTGCTCTCCTCCTCCTCCTTCTCCCTTCTCTCCATGACATCCCCCCTCCCCTCCCCTCCTTTCCTCCTCCTCGTCGTCTCGCTTCTGTGTTTAATCCTCAGCACTCTGGCGACTTGAACAAATCTCTTGTGTTGGACAGCCATTGTCTTGTTGTGCAAACTCAAAAAACGACGAGACTGCTATCTTGTGTTGTTGTCTCATGATAAGATTAATTTGATTGTCAAGACTTCATATTCCGTCACGATATCTTCTCGATCTTGAGATGTTTACATTGGAAGCTCTTTTCTTGTCCCATGCACCTTTTCCTTCTCGCACCCGACCACTACTTGTCTCCTGCAGGACATGCTTTGACGTTTGACCCCTTGTATCAGCGGATTTTCGTCCAATGTAGCTGCTGGAATCAGGTTCGCTAGTGGTCGCTGGACCGCGGACAAGGTGCTTGTGCTCACAAACTTCCTCCACGCCTTCCTTACGAAACGTCCTCACGACAGGTCCCAGCCGGGCCTGCGGATCCCATCCTTGGATTGAACGACGCCTTCAACAAGGACACCTTCGAGAAGAAGATCAACCTTGGTGTTGGTGCCTACCGCGATGACAACGGAAAGCCCTGGGTTCTGCCCTCCGTCAAGGAGGTATTGCCCTCCCCCCCCCTTTACCTCTGTGCCTTTTCTTCTGTTGCTGAGTCATGATGGACGAAATTTGATTCCTTGTGGGACAGGCCGAGAAGAGGTTGATTGAGAAGGGATGGAACGGTGCCTACCAGAAGGAGTACGCTGGCATCACTGGTATCAAGGAGTTCAACGATGCCTCCGTGTTGTTCGCCTACGGCTCTGCTGGCAAAGTGATCGAAGAGGGAAGGGTAACTCAGCCGCACTTGTTTGACGTTAGCGTTTGACTTTGAGTTGCAGCTTGCTGTTGCCCAGGTTCTCTCCGGAACCGGAGGAGGCAGGCTTGCCTTTGAATTCTATGCCCGCTTCGTGGGCAAGAACGTGAGAGCTTGTTGGTTCCTGTCGCTTGTCTGACACGTCTCAGGTCCCTATCTACATGCCCGATCCCACCTGGGCCAATCATCTCCCCATGGCCAAGGACGCTGGTGAAGGCTGCCAATGGTGTGTAAACGTTTCATGACCCTGAGTTCCAGGCCTGTCCCTGCAGACTTACCGCTACTACGACAAGAACACTGTCGGCCTCGACTTCAACGGGCTGTGCGAGGACGTGAACGTGAGTTGTAAGTTGTTGCTGGACTTCAGGTTGTGAATGCTGCACAGAATGCCAAGGATGGATCTATTTTCATGTTTCACGCCTGCGCTCACAACCCCACTGGTGTTGACCCCACCATCGAGCAGGTACTTTGTCTAGCACATTCCATATGGACGGCAGGTTAACAATGGTTGCAGTGGAAGGAGATCTCCTCACTGTTGAAGAAGAAGAACCACATGGTCTTCTTGGACATGGCCTACCAGGTTTTGTGACGTGTCACCTGCTCTCGGGCCTTGACCCTGATTGTCTTCCAGGGTTTTGCTAGCGGAGACGCTGACGAGGATGCCCGTGCTCTTCGTATGCTTGTGAGACACTCTCACGATTTCATGTTGGCCCTGACAGACCCGCTCAGGTCGAGGATGGACACGACATCATCCTCGCTCAGTCTTTCGCTAAGAACTTCGGATTGTGAGATTCTCTTGCGGTTTGAGTGAGCAGCTGACGATGTTGGCAGGTACGGTGAGCGTGTCGGATGCTTCAGCATGGTCGCTGGCAGCAAAAACGAGGTTTGAAGTCTGAGGGGGAAACATCGTCAGGTTGATTTTGGAACACAGGCTGAGCGCCTTCTCAGCCAGATCAAGATTCTCATCCGCCCCATGGTCTGCAGTTTTGTCTTTTGTTGGGTCAATTTTTCTGATTCGGAGTCGTTCAGTACTCCAACCCCCCCATCCATGGAGCTAGAATCGTTGCCACCGTCCTCAACGACCCCGCTCTCAACAAGCAGGTGAGCTAAAGCAGTTGTGGGTAGTGTTTGTTGACTTCTTCCCAGTGGTATTCCGAGTGCAAGTCCATGGCCGACCGCATCATTGACATGCGCAAGCTGTTGAAGTCTAACCTTGAGAAGGAGGTCGCTACGTGTGTTATGATGCTTGTGAGAGCTGACAGTGTGAGAGTAGGGATCCACCCGCAACTGGGACCACGTCGTGAAGCAGATCGGCATGTTCTGCTTCTCTGGTCTTAACCCGGAGCAGGTTGCTACTGTCTCTTTGCCTGCTGTTGTTGCTCACTTTTGAGCAGGTCGACAGGCTCAAGAACGAGTATCACATCTACATGACCAAGAACGGACGTATCTCCATGGCTGGTAAGGGATTGGATCGATCTGGGTGCTCGAGCTCACTGAGATGCAGGCGTCACTTCCAAGAACGTCGAGTACCTTGCGCATGCCATGCACCAGGTCTCCAAGTAAATGCACTCCTGAGTTTCAAAACCGTTGCTTGCAATGTAATCAGTCTTTTAAACTGCAATCTTCGAAACTTGCATGTGCTGTGCCCTTGTGTGCCGACAAGGAGTTCGGAGTTTGGGGATTGGCGACAGTGCATCGGCCATTCTATTTATCAGACTGTCACTCCAACCTTCGATGCATGCTAACATAACTTGTCCTGAGTTTTGCGCGGAAAACGGAGCTGTAGGTAACCTCTGAGTGGGAGTGAGAAATCCTGTTCTGGTTTGTTGGTGGAGTAGTCAAGGAGAAGGAGTGAAATAGACCCAGTAAGCACTTTGTTTGTATACACATGACTACCTTGCTTTATTGACATTTTTTATCATTGAATGATGTTCGAAACGAAGTTACCATCGCTGTCGATGGCTTTTCTAAAAGGCGAGCGATTCTGGAAGATCAGGAGCTTCAAGCACCCGTCCACTTGAAAGTTCCCATGTTCATCGATCGCACAGATGCTGTCGCACTGCCCTGAGGCCTCTAGGAAGGGTCCTGGTCGGTGCATTACATACTTCTTGCATCCATCAATGGTCCCGATGGAGTGCCTGTGGTTGGGTCGCACAGGTCTCTTGCTCGAGGGCAGCTTGCATGAGTTCGTCCTTCGCTCCGCAAACATTCTTTCTTCCTTCCCCTTGTGTTCGCTCTTGTCTGCTGTGCTTGCCTCCCAGGTCGCTAGAGTGAACTTTGCATGCTTGGCCAGTACCGGCCTCCTCCTGATCCCTCGGTCGATGCAGCAAGACGCTACGTCCTTGATCGATCTGTCAAGCCAGGAGACGATGTCTTTCGGTCGTTCGAGGTAACGATTTTCTTTGTTTGCGTCTTTGTAAAGATCTGCAGACAGCTGGGTCATGCTATGCTGGAAATGAAGATCGATCTGTCGGATCCCCAGTCTCGGGCTCGTTGGAGGATATGGAATGAGATGCGCACGAGAATACAAGAGCGAATGTCGATAGAGAAATGGAGGAAGTGAGAGGATAGGACAACAGGAGGAGAGGGATGGGGGGAGGAGGATGGGAGGTCTGGGTTGGTGCGAGGAGGGGGCGGTGAATCCCGATGTAGGGGCAATGGAGGGGGGGGAGGCCTTACAACGGAATGATGGCAGGACTTAAAGTTGTGTGAACTGTGTAGTAAAGAGCTGCTTGGGGTGCATCCCAAGCCATTCGGGAAACAGTGAGACAGGTACAATAGGGGGGTGGGGTGAGGGTTTGGGTTATAAGAAGGGGGTACCATTTCATTGATATTCCTTTTGCTTCCTTGGTGGGTCCTTTCTGTAGAGGGTGGTGGGTAGTCCTGTCAGGAACAAGCGCAAGGATCGCAAAACCACATGATATCGAGCTCGCCAGAGCTAGTTTGCTCCTTTAACAACATTTATAGTATTTAAAAACACTTATAATCACAGAAGTATTTAAGATCTATTTTCACAAGGTAGGGGTTAAGGTTCGAGTCTCCTGTAAGCCTCCAGATTCTTCTTTTGACGGGTGATCAGAGGGATACGACACAGGGTGGGGTGGTCCAACCACGTCGCCCTTGTGTCTGTTGTTTTTCAAAGGACAGGTCGCAGGTTACCCTCGGAAAGAGATTACAACGGTTCGTCCCATTTCGCGTTACCCTTCCGACAAATCATGCAACGTTCCGTTACCACCTGTCATCATCCCGTCATCAACTCTGCCTACTGTCTCTTTACTTCACCCCCTACACCCAGACAGTCGCCCAAACCGTGAGGCGAACTCACTGGAGGAATTTGATTAAAATGTGGCCGCGACCGTCACCGTGCCGGTCACCAATCGGGCCGGCGATTCGGAACTTGCCTTCGGAATGAGCCCCCGCCACTCACTGGTGACCCGGCCCGGGGACTCCGACCGTAACTGACTCTGTGAGCCGCCGGTGTCCGATCACTGAGTTTTCCGAAGTTCAGTTTGCCGGGGATCGGACCGTATCGGACCGTGGACAGCACTGCTCCGGGCGGCCGGCGGGCGCGCCACGGTCCGACTCGGACTCCGGGACTCCGCCGACACAGAGCTGAGTTGCAGGGCCGTCACAGCCACCGGGTACGGTACCGGGCCGGGCCCGGCCCGTCGCCGCCGGCCGGGCGGCCCGTCCGATCCGGGCCGTCCACTGGTGACCGTCACTGGCCGCGTTGCCCGGGTCAGCGGCGGCCGCGCTCGGGGGCCGCAGCCCGGCCGGCCGCCCGCCGTCCGAGTGACTGTGGCGACCGTGTCGGACCGGGCCGCGTAGCCCGGCGGGCCCGGCCCGGGGGCCTGCACCCGGGCGGCGGTGACGCCGATGAAGGCAAAGAGCCGTGGGATAGGGGAGGACAGGCGGGAGAGCGGGAGGCTGATAGAACGATGGAGACATGGCATGCTGTAGTGTGTGCAGATGCTCGCATGAACGAGGGAGGAAGAGGAGACCGAGGAGGACCAGCATGTTCTGTCACTGACCATGGCATGTTCTGTCACTGACCATGGCATGTTCTTTGACTGACCATGGCGCAGGATGCCAGTCAGCCCGTGATCGCTGGAGCAGCAGAGAGGAAGGAGGAGCGCGAGAGTGAGGAGATGAGTCTTGGGTTCTCTTACGAGTACAGAGATGGAATGCCCAGCGTCACTCATGTCGAGCATGGGGGGGCAGCAGAGGCTGTGGGGTTGAAGGTAGGATCTTTGGACGACGATGTGTATAATGCTGCTGCTGGCACTCATGGCTGTGTTGTCGGCGATGACGATGATGACGATGATGACGATGACAATGGCGACGATGACGACGATGATGAAGATGATGATGTTTGGTGATGATGAAGATGACAATGGCGAGGAGGAGCAGGAGGAGCAGGAGGACGTGCAAGGGAGTTTGCCAGGATAAACTATCATGGCAGGTCGGCGATAAAATTTTGGAAGTTGATGATCTTCCAACTGGCAACGGGCAGGATGTATTTCCCTTCCACCACCACCACTACCACCTCCTCCTCTTCCTCCTCCTGATTCTCTCCTCTTGATTGCAGTTGTCTTGCTTTCTCTCTTTACCATCCTGCATTTGCCGCTGCCATTTTCCTTCTCCTTTGTTTCCTCTCCTCCTCAGCCTGCGTCCTTCTCCCCCTCCTATTCGTTTTTCTCCTCCCATTTTCCTCACGTCCACGTCTGACCTTTCTCGCAGGTTCTCTCAATCTTGCGTGGGGATGCAGGAGAGCGAGTGAAGTTGAAGATTCAACCCGTTGCCCCCCCCCCCCCCCTTCCCTCTCCTTCCTTTCCTCTATCCTCCCTCCCTCCCTGCTCCCTCGCTTCCTTCTGTCCTCCTCCTCCCCCCTCCTCCCTCATCTCTTACCTCTTCCTCCTTCCCTCCTTCCCTCAGCCTCCTCTTCCCCTACTGCAGTATGCAACTCCTGCCCTTCCGTCCACTCTCCTGCCCCCGATGTTTCACTCTCACCTTCCTCTGCCCTCACACGGCTCACCGCTGCTGCCTTCCCCTCCCTCAATCTCAATCCAACACCTTCTCCCTCGCATCCTTTCCTGTCCTTCCCTTCCTGTCGTTTTCTTCTCCTTTTCCATCCTTGCCATCATCTACTTTCCCATTTCCTCTACTTTTCCTATTTCCTGCTCCTTCTCCTCCTGCTATCTTTTCTCTCCATGTTCTCCTGCTCTCTGTTCGTCGTTCTCCTTCCCCTCCTTTCGTCGTCTTCCCCATCTCAACTCACTTCAGGCTCCTCGTCCCATGACCCCAGGCGTGTGGGGGATGCCAGGTGACTCCAGGCAGGAAGCTTGTCTCCTCGACTCACCCGCTGCTGCAGGTGCAGGCAGCATCAGCGTCGCTCAGCCTGTCAAGACTGTGAGGGGAGGGGGAGGGTGGGGATGGGGAGGAGGAGGGGGAGAGGAAAAGGGAGGAGAACAGGAGTGAGGGGTTGACGGCATTGCCAGATTGTCCTCACCAGAAAGGAGCCTTTCAATCTTACCTGGGAAAGTATCTCTACCACCGTGTCTTCCTGGTTCAGGTGCTGCTGCTGCTGCTGCTGCTGCTGCTGCTGCTGCTGCTGCTGCTGCTGCTGCTCCCCTTCCCTGGCTTTAGCCTCCTTCGTTTTGCCTACCTGGTCTCTACCTTCACCTCTCCCTCCCTCCAGCTCCTCCTCTTGCATGACTCTCCCTGCAGCCCGGCGCCGAACCCGCAAGTACCACTGGGAACAAGCATCGGCATCACTGCGGATGGTATCCGATGGTGAGGAGGGGAAGCAGCGAGTGATTGCGGGACAGGGCAGGCAAGGATGAGACAAGTGGAGCAGGAGGACGTCTGTGCGCTGATCTCCTGCTCCTCGACTGATTACGGTGACGCTCCTGGCAGGGGGGTGGAGGGAGCAGGAGAGGATGCGGGAAGGATTCAGCGGAGGAAGATGGCACGAGAGCTACTGAGGGTCCAAGGAGCTGCGGAAGTGGGAAGGGAGGGAGGGAGGAGGAGGATGAGAAGTTTTGTTGTTGTAAGAAGAGGATGGGAAGAAACTTTTACTGTTACGATACTTGAACAAGACTCAAGCCAAGAAGTATTGATCCGGATAGCCTGCCCAGACGTCAGAGCCTGGTCATAACTGACAACAGCCACATAGTATCCTCCTTGCCTTTCTCCTCCCTCTAGACCTCTTCCCCTTTCTGACCCTCATTGTCCTGCTCCCCCTGCTCAACATGCTTTTCTTCTTCCTTCTGTCTCTGCTGATCCCCCGCCTCTCTCCTGCTGCCCGTCCTGCTGCTTGTCTGCTCCACTTACTCTGTGATGCTGCTCCCTTGTTTGGCGGGGTGGAGGTGGCAACGAGTTCTGCCTGTCCAGATGTGAGGCCTCTAGCAGCGCCGAGGGATGAGGAGGAAGAACCAAACTGAAAGAGAGAGGAGCGAGGAGGACGAGGAGGAAGGAGGAGGTACAAGAGGACGAGGATCGGGAAGGCGAGGAAGAAGATGGGGGGAAGGAGGAGACCTGAGGCATTCCGTCGAAGAAGCCAGCGTTGATGGTGTTCATGCGAGCCTGATGCGTGTAAGTTACACACAGGAGGGATGGAGGAAGATGAGCAGCAAAAGCGAGAGAACGAGAGGAGGAAGAAGAGGAATGGTCGAGGCGATTGAGAAAGAGATAAAGAGACGAAGAGGGGGAGAGAAGAGAACGGGAGGCGGAGGAGGAGGGGGAGCCTGGAGGTGAGGTGTAGAGGGTTCAGGGCCAGGGAGATCAACTCGTGGGTGTCGAGGTGAAGGAGGGAGGAGGAGAGAGTCATACCTGCATCTCATGCACGTAGCCGGCGAGAGAGTCAGAGTTCTCGAGCATCTCCCTGGATGAAAGTCAGTTTCTCATCGACACCCCGAGCTCATGGAGGGGAGGGAGGCAGCACAAGTTGAGCTCAACCCCACCTGAAGAGCTCCCTCTCTTCCTCCAGCTGACGTTGCTGCCATAGTCGCAGGATTAGAAGAACATCAAGGGAATCCAGTCATGTTAAGATCTCTTTCCGCTCATTTCTCCTCTCGCTTCTCCTTTCTGAAACTTCTGATCGCATGTCATCCGATCTTCTCCTCGACCGATGCTTTCCTGTCCTGTCCTGCCTTGCCCTGTGATGTCCTTCCTCACCTTCCACAACGCATCGTGCTCTGCCTTCTTCTTCTCGAGCATCATGGCAGCCTGCATCAACGTCATCGCCATCTTCTCATCTCCTTCGTCTCTTTGCCTTGAGCTCAGCCTGCGCTTTCATGAGCTGGGCCTGCAGCTCCATCCTAGCGACTTGCTCCTCAGCCCTCTGCCCGCCACGTCAGCAGCTGTCCAGCAGGCAAGCACGAGCTGTTGCTCACCTGCTTGCGGATCAACTGCAGTTGCTGCTCCAGCTGTATCTTTCGCTCTGCGTGCAGAACTTATAAGGGGAGCTGAACGTCTGACCTTCTCGATTTTTGACCTTCGTGACGTTTCTGGAGCTCTTCGATGTATTCTTTTCGCAGCCTGGCGAGCGTGCGGGATAAGCACAGGAGGCGGCAAGCTTGCGCTTGACCTGTCCTTCTCTATCTGCCGGGAAAGCTCCTCTGACAGCTCCTGCTCCCTGGCCTGATCGCAAACAGTAAGGGAGAGAGATGCGCGTGGGAGATAAGGAGAGGTAAGGCGGAAGAAGGAGGCGCGAGTCAGGCAGCGAGGAAGCAAGGAGAGGGAGAGGGTGCGACGAGCAAGAGTGGGAGGGAGAGAGGGGGAGCGAGTAGGAGAAGAGACAGAAGGAGCTCGAATGGATCTGACCTGAACGGGCGCCAATCTTGCCTCTACGTCGCGTTTGACTGTCTCAACCTGTTGACTCGGAGTGATACCCAGGCCGGGCAGCAGCGAATTCCGCGTACCTTCCTCAGAGCCTCAGTGAGCTGCTGCTTGTCCTCGTCGAATGTTTGCTCAAGAACGGCCTGGCATGACGATCGGTGTCTCTCCTTCACATCGCACGCTCAAGTTTACCACGTCCTTGTCACGCATCTCCTTGTCTTGTCGCTCGGAAATCAACAACCTCTTGATCCTGCAAGTCTCAGCAATCAGCCGACAGTCGACCCTCAGTCTCGCGCACGCCTCCCCACCTATCGACTTCCTCTGCAACCTGCTGCTCCTCCGCAAGTGCCTGCACCATATGAGCGCGAAGGTGCAGGTCACCATGGCAGACCTGCTTCAGCTGAAGCTTCAGCTCGGTCAGCTCGTCTTCATTCCTCTTCTCTTGCTCCAGACGCGCGAAGTACTGTCATAGGCCCAGCTCAGCCCCAACTCACTTGTCAGAAGTCCTCATTGTCCGACCTCCGGCGATCCGCGAACAAGCTCCAGCTCGTACCCGAACGCGTTGGATCCCTCTCCTGCTCTCCATTCAGGGCAGATTATCTCCAGCCACCAGCCAGTTTTTGTCCCTGATCTCCTCCTCCATTCACCAGTGACAGCAGGCTATACTATCCTGCCTCTCGCTATCTTTGCCGTATGCACACGCAATGACCTGGCTCTTCTCTCCTCTTACGATCCCTTCCTTACCTCGCAGCATCTTGAGGCGAACCGTGCTGCCCTCTGTCATCGTGTCATTTCCTGTCGCACGGCCGGGCACGAACTCACCGGGCCCAGTGATCATGTTACGAAACACGTTGGGGTTGGCACTGGGCAGCCGGCGTGAGGAGGGGAGGGGAAGCGTTTTCTTGCCTCTCACCTCTGACCGCGCACATCCGTACCGTCGATAGCGATGAGAATGTCGCCAACCTGGGATGGTTCAGACCTCACAGGAGAGGCAGCAGAGCCTCTCGCCGCACCTGCACGCGTCCATCGCGCTCCGCAGACCCTCCCGACACGATTGTCTTGACTCTGATGAGCGGTCAGCCGGGGTGGGCTGGCATGCCAGCATGTATACCTGATCCTTCCTCCGCTCTCATGGAAGAAGAGGCCTATGCCAGGTTGCTCTGATTGCAAGGCTGCAAGCACAGTCAAGAAAGCTCAAATTCGCTCGAAGGTAAAGTCTACATCTCATCTTGATCAGGGAATACAGCGATAACTAGTCAGTGGTAGCCAACCACGGTCTTGCTATCCTACTCATCGAATCTATGCATATCTGCCTATCAAGTCACTCGTTTCCCTCCCTGTACATTCACTTCCTTGACTGTCTCTATCGTGTTAACACCGTGCAGAGCATTGAAATTTTATCCTCCTTCTTTCCCTCCATAGATGTGGTTCCAGGAGGAAGGAATTCCTCCCCAAGATGCTGCCATGTTTGATATCGCTATCTACGTCACCGATTCTATTTCTTCGCAACAACATAAATCATTTCCTAATTTGTCTTCTCCTCTCCATCGCCTCTCCTCCTCTCATCTTACATGCTCCCTGCATGGATCGCCGCAGCCCGTTCATCCTCTGGCGCGCCTTCCCGTCCCCACCCCACCCCACAAGTTTCCATAACAATTGACCCCTCCATCAACACCTCAAGGCTCTACTACCGTCCGATGGGTCCCACTGAGGTACCCCTACCCCCCATCACCACTGACCTTCTAACCCTCAGTAAGAACGGGACCCCTACTCGTGAACGGTTTGGAAATAGATCGCCTCCACTACTCTACTACCCCCCCATGCCCCCCACTGGGAATTCATTCAGCACTACCAGGGGTGGTTAGATCCCACAGTTTTCGCCAATATTCGTACCCCTCCTCCCTACCCCTGAACTTAAATGATCTTCCGAGTTCGTTTTGGCGGGTCCTGGGTGTAAGCAACTTGAAGTGACCCACCCCCTACTGTATTGTGACTATCATGTTCTGATTCAACCCACCCTTGTTTTCTGGGGCTCACTACCCCCACCCCCAGGATCATCTGGTCTCAGTGAGCCCTCCAGTCCTACAAGTTCAAACCAGCCAGCCTGACAGGATCCGCGCTAAATAACGTTACGATTACCGTTACATAATAATTGTAAAACAGTTACAAACCCACACAGTAGTTTCCGTTACACTCTCCTCCAGCAGTTTTGGGTACAAACTTGAGCCCGACAGGTCCT